TATTTGTAACAATAAATGGCACGGATATCTTGGCGTTTAAACAATACGTTAAACGTCCATCTATTAATACGTCCTTGTTTTGATTATCCAGGATGCATAAAAAACAAAATAATAAATTATTTATGCATCCTGCATAAACAAATAAAAAAAAGGTAATGGAGTTTTTTATTCTTTAGAGCCGCTTGGTATTACACCTTCTCGTAGGTCACACCATAGTGAAGTATCTTGGAAACGCAAAGCTGACACAAGTACTTGGAAACAAAATATAACAAAAATGCAACGTCAGTTGGGTAAAACTTATAGAAATTTGAAGGGTACACAGAAAGGGTGCCAGAAAGATCTATCGTAACGCTAAAAAGTTGCAGTAATTGTAAATTCAAATGCTCTACTAATATAAGTGAGATCGAGCGTCAAGTTATATTTGATAACTTTTGGATCTTAGATGATGACGGTAAAAAACATTTCTATTCAAAAACTACCGAAAATCTGGAGAAAAAACGCTGACGAACAGCTGCTGGTGAAAGTTATAAAAGAAAAATGTCTTAATATTATAGCTTCTTTGTTTCTAATACACAATATAGAGTTTGTAAATCCTACTTCTTTTAACATTGAGTATTAGTAGCCAAAGAATTTTTTACTTTCACAAATTTAATAAATGCTTAACTACTGGAAAACCTATGCAATCAAAATGTGGAAGACATGTGAAAAAAGCTTACCACAAGAATCTAAAAAAGTTGTACGAGATCATATAAACCTTTTCCAAGAATTGAGGCTCATTACTGCAGGAAAAAGACGCATAAAGAATATATGGAAGGATCACTCAATATAGGTAAACTGTATGATCTTTTTAAAGTATATTGTGATGAAAATGGCTATACACCAGTAAAAGAACATATGTATCATTATATCTTCAATCACGAGTTCAACATAAAATTTCAAAAACCAAAGAAAGATTTATGTGATACATGCTATGAATATTGCAACATTGTTAATGCAAGCAATGAGCAGACAGAAAGTTTTAATAAGCACAGAATGATAAAAAAACTGAATGTGAAAAAGATTGTCAAAATGTTGATCCTAAAACAGCAATTATTTGTATTGATCTTGAAAATGTTTCAAGTTTGCCTCGAGCTAATGTTGGTAACTTTTTTACAAACAGAAACTTTCAAATTATAACTTAACTGGTCATTGTTCACTTAACAAGAAAGGTTATTGCATCCTTTGGCATGAAGCTATGGCTGGTCGTGGAGGAAATGATCTTGCCAGTGCTGTAACATGTCTGCTTTTAAAAATCATGGATGACCTTGATATAAATAAGTTCATACGTTGGCTCGATTCAAGTGAAAACCGCAATAGTTTCATGTCAGCAGCTTTACGTGAATTTATTATACGATACCCACAAATAAAAGTCATTGAGCAGAAGTTCTGCGAGCCAGGTCACTCTAGCATTCAAGAATGTGATAGCATTCATAGTCAAATTGAAAAAGTTCTCTCTGCTGCAGAAATATTCAGTCCACTCGGACTAGAAAGAGCTATTAAAAATGTAAACCGTAAAAAACCATTCTCTGTTTACCAAATGCAATTAGTTGATGTGAAGAATTTTTCAATTGTTGCTGGGTTGTCAAGTTATAAGTTAATGCCTTATAAAATAGTTAAAAATCTTGTTATCGAAATGGACTGCCATACCATGTTTTTTTTAAAACCTTGTTTTCCGATAATTATTCACAAGAACGTGTTAATAAGTCTATCAAGCGAGCAACATCAAACATTATTGCCAAACCATTAAAGATAAATATACTAATGGCAGCTTGCTTACGTGTTCCTTATCAGCCTTTATCTGCTGAAAAAGCAAATGATATTATTTCCATGTATTCATACATGCCTGCTGTTGATATTGCGTTTTACAAAGCATTGATAAAGTGAACTTTTTTTTATATATGACTCTCTCTGTTATTTTTATTTTAGTATTGATATATAAAACATAAAGTTTATATTATTTTGAAATCTTGTTAAAATTCCTTGTTAAGCTTGTTATTTATAATAGTTTTTAATAAACAGTTGTAATGGAATCACAGGTATAAGAAAAATAAAATCAAGTTTATCTTGTATGTTGTTTGTTATTAGATCTCAAATAATTGATGGAAAACTTTAAAAAAGCTATTTTTTAATAAATATTTTTCATCCTTTTTCATTACCCTTTTTTTATTATGTAGCGAAGTGTTCTGTTTTAATTTAGACATTTTAGTCTTGTTCACAGCCGGAGCGAACAGGTATCTAATAAACTTGTAAGAACATTGAAGTAGCTAATGGGTTGGAGGCCCTCCCAAAGTATATAATAGGGCCCCAAAATGATATTAAAAACTTCCATTTTTAGATGTTAGAAAAAAAAACTTATTTTATTTTAAAAAAAGTTTCCATAGATTTGCTGGGTCCCAACCAACCCTAATTTAGGGGTATGGGGGTGCCTAACAACAGCACTGCGCAAGAAAAATGACTACAACAACAACAAAAAAAATCCTAGAACAAAGTTTCATCGATTTTCAATATGTCTTTGTTGAAAAATGTAGTTAATATATTTAATATATAAGATGTAACAAAATAACATTTTTGTATTTTACAAAAAATCAAAGTTATTTTGTTTTATCTCCAAAAGTGGGTGGGAAAATATGGGCGTTAGCATTATTTGATTAAATTTTTTTTAATTAAAAATTTTTTTATTTTTTTTTTTTTTATTTTTATTTCTTTTTTATTTTTGCCGTTTAATATTACAATAACTAAATATATTTTACAATTTTTTACATTAGTAACGACATTAGTAAAAAATTAACAACGGAACAATCTTAAATCTAAAGAAAAACTTTAGTTTTCAAATAATATTTTTAATTTAGCAGCAAACAAACTCAAACTTTGACATCGATTTTCTCAGTTTGCAAATACATGGACTTAGAACAAGATAATTCTAACGTCGCGATTTGACTTTAGCCGTTCACTATGTCAATAAAATAGAAATTTTTATAAAACCCAAATTTTTAGAAAAGAGTACAAGCACTCATACTTCAGAAGAATTTACATTCAATAAGTTTATTTGTGCACTCCCTCCGCTTCCTTCTTTAAGTTTCTTTAAAGACCAAATAGATAATTTTTAAGGAAAAAATTTTTCTTTATTTCTTTATTCTGATCATAATCAACTTCTAATGCTTCATTAAAGTTTAAATAAAATTTATCACTATTGTTGTCATCATCTGATGTGTCACCATTATTTTCAAAATTGCTTGTATAAATAAGCAGTTATGAAAATGATGATTAGATTAATCAGATCAAATTATATATTCATTACCTTCAAGTGCATGATCTAAAAATAAAAGATATATTCGTCTAAACGTTTTACTTAGATCTTGTACTTAAAGAAAATGAACTTATAATTGGAGGAGTAACATTATTTTTGTTATTATAAAGTGTTAACTGCAATTAAAATTTAACTGCCACATAATATTTTTTGTGTTATTGTAAAGTGTTAACTGCAATGGTGTTGTCGCTACTGTTATTAGCTTCATTTAGTTCCCAAGAACTTAATAATATTAAATTTTCATAACCTTTATTGTATTCAACCAAAGGTTTCAAAATAGTTGCTTGGTTCAAATTAATTAATCTTTTGGCTGCGTTCCTCATGAGAACATTTACTTTAACTAGTAATAGTCGTTGAATCTTTTGGTTGACTTTTGGTTGTTTCATTTTTTTTGATAATCCTGAAGAATGGAAACTTAGCAGATTCTGTCAAATGTGCATCATATGATATGAATTTTTTGTGTGATTACAGTTAATGAAATGCCAAAACGTTTTATCACCTCGCAACATTTCAACATTTAATCTGTTTAAAATTTGAAATACGTTAGTTTGATTTTTTATATGTCTATTAAGAATAACTATGATATAGTATTAAGAAGAATAACTATGATATAGTATGATAAGAAGAATAACTATAATATAGTATTAAGAAGAATAACTATGATATAGTATTAAGAAGAATAACTATGATATAGTATGATAAGAAGAATAACTATGATATAGTATTAAGAAGAATAACTATGATATAGTATTAAGAAGAATAACTATGATATAGTATTGAATATTATAATATGCTGTTTTTTTCCGGCAAATAAAAATTTTTCAATAAAATCTTTTAGGGTTAACTTTGCCATACTACTTCTTAATACTATATCATAGTTATTCGTCGTTTACTTCTGTTGCTCAATTCAGTATATTCCTTTGATGAGGGTCTTGTTTTTTCTTATTTGTTGAATTAATATATTTTTGATTAAAAAGATGTGCTGTCTAACATTCTTTATTGTAGTTTTCATGTCTAGCTTTAAATTTATTTACTTTTCACCATTTTTTTTCAAATTAGGTATAAAAAACTCTAAATAAATTTAAAAGTTTTCAGGTGTGACATTTACATATACTTATTAAAAAAATATACTCAAATGATTTTTGCTAACTATTTGAGAGATGATAGGGTCATTGAAGTGTTTGACTAATTCCCTGCTGGACGACTTTGATTATATTTTGTCACATCTACAAATAGTTGCTTTAGATTTCATCTTAAAAGTATTTTTGCAACAACAAAAACAAACAATTTTTATCTTTACTAAATCAAACTTTTCACAAACTTTTACGTAAATTTGAATTGGATAGTTTAAAATAGAATTGGCATATTTTTTTTATTAATTTAATTTAGGTGCACCAAGAAGCCCTTACGGTCTTATCACAGAGCACCGCGGATGAGCATTTAATTGGAAGCTCACGCCTCCTTCCTAACCGATGTCACAAAACTTGCCCAGAGGTGGGGTTTGAACCACGGATCCTTTGTTTCTGAGGCAAGTGCACTACCACTTCGCCACGGCTGCTAAGTTTCACGAATAATATTAATTTAAGAACATCAAAAAATGTTTCAATATTACAACAAAAAATTAACAAAAATACAAAAAATTGAAGAAACTTACTCTTGAGCTGCTTGAGGATTCTCCTGCATCTGCTCTAAAATCGTTCGCATTGCAGGATCTTTTAGAATATTTTTACTACTGGATCTTAGCTTAGTCTTGGCATAGTTCTGGCATAGTGATAAGACTACTGTTGTCTTTTTTTTATCCCGGCCATGTAAATATTTATTTATACATTTTAGTATTGTAGCAATATTGTATTATACATTTTGGTATTGTAGCAAAATTGTAGCATTTGAAATAATTAAAAAAAAAATTTAACAATAATAATCATAATTGTTACTAAAGTAACCACCACATCAAAATGAAAAGGTTGTTAATAAAAAAAGCCAAATATATTTTTGCGTTATGAATAATTCAAACAAAACGAATAACAACATCAAACACTGTGTAATATTTCAGATAGCTAAAAATGTAAAAAGTATTACATCTCATATATATGCATAATTTTGAAAAACGTATAGATTGCTTAAAAAAAATTTATCTTTAAATTAATTAATGAAAATCTACGTTATTAAACTTTTTTTTGTTTATTTAGGAACAGCTAGATTTGTCACAAAGTTCCGTAATTTTACGGAAAAACCTATAGCGCGTAAACGAAAATTCGCCACAAAAAGATATTTTCGTTAAAATTTAATGGGTTTTTTCCGTTAAACAACGGTAAATTCAGCTGTCGGCTATTTTCTGTAGATAAACGTATACTTCTGTTTTAACTCTATGGTGTTCTAGCAAATCAGCTGCCGGTTAATTAACATAAGGAGCATTTTAATTAAATATCCGTTAATTTGAAAATGTCTTTTTTTTGATGTAAAATGAATTGCTTGTTGTCAGGGGTCGTCCATAAATTACGTCACGCTATAAGGGGGACGGGGGAAGGGGTTGGTAGTTTTGTGGCGACTCATACAAAACTTGCTTCTTAAGTGTTACGATTTTGTGACGAGGGGGAGGGGGGAGGTGAAAATCTGTCAAAAAATGCGTGACGTAATTTAAGGACGATCCCTCAATAATATTATTCAAAACAATTTTTCAAAATTTCACATAAAAATATGAAGTTTTCAAATGACATTATTTTATCACTATATTTATTTTACAGGTATTGATTCGAGATTTATTTTTAAGTAACATTTATTGGTTTAACAAAATATAAATCATTTAAACCAAATAAACAAATATACAGGTTTATATTTCTTTTTCAATTCGAGTCAACACATAAGTTTTAGCGAGAAAAAAGCTTTTAATCTTTTAAACAATAGCAAATTGTTAAAAGTATCGTCAGTATGTAAAATAAGTAGGTATTTTAAAGTCATTTAGGACTGTTTAAACCAAGGTTGCCAAAATCGGGGTTTTTGAACAAAAACCAAACCTAACAGGTTTTTTTGGTCTTTTTTAAAGTTTGATACAAATTACTAGTAACAAGGTTTAATTAATTTTAATTTATTTTAAAGCTATTTTACATTATTTACAGCTTTATTATCTCATACAACAGCTTAATAATCAGATTGCATTTTTTTCTAAAATAAAGCTTTTTGGAAATCATTTGAAAGTTTTATTTTATTTAAAATATAAATAGAGTTCTTAAACATAAAAAAGTATCATTCATAGGGAAGAAGTAAGGCTAGTTAGTGGAATGAAGTGACCGTATTAAATGATCAACCAAATAGAGTAATAGGTAACTATTGCAATGAGAATTAAAAAAATAAATAGAGTTAAGGTTCATCTGGATAAATGAAAAAGGAAACCGCTAATGATTCCGTAAATAGCCTTGACTCTAAAACTGATATATCGCTAAATACTTCATATTTAGCGATATATCAGTTTTAGAGTCAAGGCTATTTACATAAGCAGCATCATAGAAGTCAAACCTGTCAGATAATATGTAGCAAGATTGTTATTTTGTAACAAATTTTTATTAAATTTGAACTGGATTTGCAAGTTACAAAAAAAATGCATGTAATAGAATTGAAATAAAAACAGATGTAAAATTTTTGAATGCATGTAATAGAATCCTTAGTTTATACCAGGCTCTCATGCAATTAAACTAAAAGATGCTAATTGTTTCCTAAAATATTTATCCAATGATTTTGTATAAAACACAACATCAGCAACAAATAGGCAGAAAGTTATAGAAATGAAGGAATCTAATTTTTTCCAAATTGTTTAGAAATTTTGCAAGATTTTTACGGTAGTTGCGCACTTGTCCAGCTGGTAGTGGATCTATTGAAAGATCATCATTTCGCATTATTTCGAGCAAAATTTGGAATCGTTTAGAAAGAGAAAAAGCTGAAACGCTTGTATATATATACAGATATTTAAGATCAAGATGCACAACTGCTGATGACTAAATTGTAAGATGACTTTGTTTTAAATTTTGTTTTAAAGTTTAAATATTACTGCTCCATGTAAAATAAAATTATCATTTTTGACGCACTAAACTCCTTGTTTTAATATCAATAGAACATTTTTAAACAACTTTATATAACGTAACTTTAGATTACGTGATTAAACTTAAAGAAGATGGGTTATTGGGTTTGGGTTTGGGTTTTTGGGTACCAACCCTCAAATAAATAAAACGTGTATTTTTTATCAACCCCTTACCTTTAGCATGTAACGCGACATTATTTAAAAAAATTTATCTTTGAGTTTGCAATTTAAGCTAAATACTCTATAATATATTTTTAAATACATTTTTTTTTGTCACGTCAAACTGTAGCTAACCAAACCTCTGTCCCATTTGATAGATAGTTACACTTCTTAATACCCCTACCCCTTTTTCCTTAAGACAGTCACGTTTTATTTGAATAGCCCCTTTATCTTAATCACTTGCTACACTAAGGACCTTTAAGAAAACATATTTAATAAAAAAATGATATACTTGCCTTTATTATACCATAATATTTTATCAATAATTTACAAATCTGTTTTACAGGGATATGATTAAAAAAGAGCAAAAATATGATAACAAAAAGACTTTTGGCACCAGATGGTACTGATATAAAAAAATAACTTATACCACGACACCTGATGCCAAAAGTCTTTTTGTTATATGCAAGTAAAAAAATTTAGTTTACATATGTTGATAAATAAACAAAATTGTTTATAAATTCTTTAAAATCAAATTTCAATAATTCAATATAAAGATAAACGTTTACACTTATTTTAGTTGGATGTAAAGCATGCAATAATGTTGATGTAAATAATAAATCTGAAATTTTTACTCAACTAAATAAAGTCAGAAAAATATAGTATTGACGTGTCTGTTAATTTAAATTAGATTAAGTAAAAATAAACTAAGTAAAATACCACAACTGATTTATTCTGTAACAGCCAAAATCAAAATATTCTATTTTAGCTCTACAAATAATTTTTTTTTTTGTTATTTAGGTGCCCCAAGAAGACCTAACGGTCGTCTCAGAGAGCACCGTGGAAGTGCGTTTAACTAGGAAGTTCAAGCCTCCTTCCTTACCGTGACGCGAAAATATACCCAGAACTCGTTTCGAACCTGGATCTCATTTTATCGCTCTCCAGTTTATCATTGTAATCAACTTAGGACTTTGTATAACAATAAAATCATGCGAAAAAAATTTCTTTTTTTGCATTTAAAATAAAAATTAATAATTTTTTTTTTTTTTAATAATTACAAATTAAACCTTAAAATAAATTTCAATTAACAATTTTAAAATTCAATTACAATTTATAGGGTAAAAAAGTGCATTTAGGGATACTTAAGAAACAAATGCTAGTTGCGGATAAACTAATTTTAATTAATACTGCTTTTTATAAGTTTCCAAAAATTTATTAATATAAGAAAACGAAAAAACCAAACAAAAAATTTCTAAAAATAAGCTATGACAACAAAAGCAACCGAACTCTAAAATAGCCAAATCTCCACATTTTGCAAATTGGTGGGGCAAGGCGGGACAGTTAAAAGCAACAATTATTCTTTAATTGTAAACCTTTAGAAGTGATAAAAGTGAAGGCATTTTATCATTTAAACATGTTCACACATTAAAATCTTAAAAAGTAACATACCTATGCAAATTACACGCCCAAACTTAAAAAATTGTTATAAAATTTATGTTCGGCAAAGCATATATTATGTAGGGCAAAGTATATATTACTAAATTGGTAATTACTACTAAATTTAAACTTAGGTAAAAAATATTATGGATTACATAAATCACACAAAAAATATCCTGAACCTATTTGGTCATATTTTTGATGAGCTGGCTTATTAGCAATATGCCAATGTAGAGCCAATTTAAATATGCCATATGTGTCAGCAGCTTTTCAAATTCTAAGTTCCTTTTTATTCACAACTAAAACTGCATTTTATCCCATATTGGATGATTGATCTTTCTTCTTACCATTGTTGTTTAGTATAAAAACGATTAAAAATCAAATTTTATTCATTAGTAATATTGCTTTTCTAAATAATAAAAATAATATTTTAGATTAAAAATAAAATCATTAAACTGCTAAGAAAATGGTAGTAGTAGTAGTAGTCAATTATATAAAAACTTGTTGCCTCGATATGCCACACAAAAGTTATCTTACTGAAATTAAAACTATTCAAAAATTTCAATTCTAGATATTTTTTTAAAACCAGACTCTAAAAGAAAATTAAAAATACTGTCTGAAAAAATATAAACTTTTTATAAACAAAGCAAATTATCAATAGTTCAAGATCTTAGGAAAATATGCTAACTTTGTTTTTCGCACTACTGATGCATTTTGGTACTTTTAATGCATTACGGTAGTTTTAAATCAATTTTTTTTTTTACAATAATTTAGCACAATAATTTAAAATGTTTTAAAATATTTGGATCCGTCAAGGATTTAGAATCCAAAGAGGAACCTCAAGATCTCGACAAAACTACGGCATGGTTTTTTTTACTACGGCATGTTTTTTTTTTTTTTTTTTTTTAATTTTATATTTTATGTTAATTTAATGTACTTAATATTTAAGAGCGGTTCTTAGTAATAAGACCTGAAGGTCTTCTGCATGTCTCCGCGTTCTTTTTTTATGTTGTTGTTTTAATTTTTTATATTTTGTTATATTTATTCACCTGTATATTTTGTTATATTTTTTTATTACATAACGATTTTTATCTTAACTATTTTATTGTATAAATTTATTGAATATTTTAACGTGACATGTTGCTTTGTCCACAACTAAAACATCGCCTTCTAGATTTCTAAATTAC